CCCCAAAACCCCAAAACCCCAAAACCCCAAAACCCCAAGAGAATATTTAAGCTTTGATTCGATGAGAATAATAATTGAAATCAATAAATTAATCTGATGCTAAGTCAATCAATAACATTTAGACAAAATCCAGAAAGTAGAAGAGAAACATTAAATAATACTCCTATACCATTAAAAGAACAAAGGGAACCACTCGACTTCTTAGAGATAGATGATACTTAAATCTTACAGTTCTAGGCACTTGATGATAATGAACAAGACTTATGCGAAAATTACAGTGCTATTAGTGATAATAACTATTTTTCATTTGGAGTAAGCTATAAAGTATTTACAAATTAATATTGTAGGCTCCTTCATAGCACAATAAGAAGAAACTAGACCTCTCAACTCCAAGAATATGGCAAGACGATGACGCCACAGAAAGATAAGATTCTGACAATTCAGGCTTGTCTCCATTAAAATTATTGGCACCAGAGAATAGATTTCTCATATCTGTTTCATCAAATTCTAATATCCAGACTTTAGAAGACTAAAGCCCCTACTAAATTGATTAAAAAACGATAAATCAGTATTAGAAACTCAGTGGTAAGTATAACTACTTTTTTGGATTACAATTTATAGCTCTAAAATCAAGTTATTGCTCATATATCATAATGGGATCCCCTAAAGACAATAACGTGTATCTTTAATATAATATGAGTCAAGCCAAGAAAAGAGAAGAAATAGCCTTTTCTCCAGTCAAGTTAAAGAATATATCTGATGGACATAAAAAATCAGTGAATCAATCAGAGATTTCATCAATAGAGGCATCATAATTAGTTAGACCCTACAGATATGATCAAAATAAGGCTTAGACTATGAATACAGAAGTTGATGATATCCAAAATACATACGGTAAATTAATCTTCAAAAGATCGAATTTAATAATTCAATATAGGGGGTAATGGTAATGATTCATATGGAAAAAGTTATAACAACTATCGCTAAAGATTCTACAATGATTCATCATAACAAAGCAATTTAATAGATTAAAATCCCAATCCAGAAATAACTACATCTAGTGTGATTTTGAATACGATGTCATAAGGCCCTATCCTCCTGGACCTCAAATAAGGTTAACAGAGAGGACTCATTATCATAGATCCATATAAGGGCATAAAGAAAAGCTTACAGAGGCACCCGAGTTTAACTATGGAATCTGTAAAAAGTAACGAGGAAATGGATGAGCAAGGTGTATCATCAGTAAAGACAAGTTCAAAGTTGAGACCAGATTTCTCATCATATAATAGTAGTCCCAACAAAGCAGATTAAACCTAAGTTTAGAGATTTAGCTCATTTTATGAGAGATAATCAACTATGATGGCTAAATATAACAAGTGTCAAAGAGGTACTGATGAAAGAAGTAAGCTGTCCCAGAATTTCAGAGTGAATTCTTTCTAAAGACCATTCAATACAACATTCATCACACAAAATGATCTATCTACAGGAGTACAGACAACAGTTCAAAGAGTCTCTAGATCACCATTAAAGTATGGAAATCACAGAGCTGACACTCTTGCAGGTTATGTCTAGGATAAGTACCTCTAAAAGAATCAAAAGATACTTGAGGTCTATGAAGACATTCTGAGTGAGTTACTCAGTCCTTAATCTAAACTAAAGCTTGAGAAAAAAGTATCAGACATAATGAATGACAGTTCTTGATAAACTTTGTTGAAAATTTAATTTTAGCATGTTATGAGTTATAATTTAACTTATTTTGATATAATTGGGTTAAATATTTTAATCACACTATATTAAGGGCTAGCCGTAGAGAAATTATAATTTAAAATTATAAATTTATAAGCTGAAATGGATTAAGGGAATCAATAAAATCTCAATTAAACGCCTTATGATGCCGCTTCCTATCAAACTAACCTTCACTAGGCCTAGTTCTCATAGCACATGGTCTAGTTTGATCAATAGAAGTAATAATAGCTCTAAAGTACCGATTACCCGAGTTAATTTGGAGGCTAAATAGCACAATAGGATCATGTAATGTCAGTTTAATATCAATCTCAGCCCATTGATGACAAATAAAATCCGGGTGTAGTTTACAATCACTCTCAAGTCTCTGCTAATATGCAAGGCTTCTACTAGGCACCTATGTATTAAGCAGAATTGTCTGATTAATTTAGGTAACAGTAGGAAGTCCCAGGATATCAATAATAGGTTATCTATCAGATGGATCATAGTCAGCATAACTAAATTCTTGGTAATCAGCAATTTGCACTGTAAAATCAAGTAGCCCTAGAATAAGCCTCCTAAAATATATAGCCACCTTCAATTAACGCCACTCCTTCATTTGGATAGCAGCAGTATAATTAGTTCTAACAGTAGCCTAGAGTTTTGACTCAGCAAATCCCTCAGTAAATTCCGCAATAATAAAATGAAGTACCGCAAACTACTCATAACTAAATGAATAATTAAATCCCATCTGGCTAATTATAATAGCATACTACCTAAATTAAGGTAGAGGAAGAAAGAGGTCTGAATGGCAGAGCAAATTATCATGAGTCATCACCAAGATTGCAAAATAACCAAGGATATTCCTAGAGTCAATTACAACAGCAGTAAATAAATAATAGAGCACCAGTTCAGTAGCAACATGTGTAATAGTAATAATCTCCTTACATGCAATAAATGAACAGACCACCTTAAAATTCACAATCGGGATATTAGCAGGCTGGATCTAATTTCCAAAGACCTTAGACTCTGGGTTCTCAGATGAATTAATCATCAGGACAAAATCAGTAAATTCAAAACTTCGTGAAGTTACTGATTGAACTAGTGAAAAAAGGTGAAATAGATTAGGTTATGCAAGAAATAAACAGAGCAGGTATCGAGGCTAGCAATCTTGTAGATGAGACCAATTTCAAGTAGACTCTAGTTTTCTCAGCTACTCTTATTCCTGATGATGCTAGATCAGTTTAGATGGTTTAAGTTCTAAAGCAACTCGGTGTCAGCCCTTCATAACCTGATACTCTTAGTCAAACTGCTTTGTATTATGCTGCCAGAGAAGGCAAAAATCAATTGTGTGATTATCTCATTGAAAACGGCTGTAAGGTGAATCATATCGATACCTATGGTTAGAATCCAATCTTCTATGCTTGTAGAGAAGGCAAACTAGAAACAGTAAAGTCTCTCATCGCAAAAGGCAGTGATGCTGACCTAGTAGATAACAACGGCTAGACCCCAATATTTTATGCAATCAAGCATGGTAAAATTGAAGTAGTTGAAACTCTAATTGAATATGGAGCAAAGCTTGACACAAGTGATAAAAAGGGATTAAATGTCATTCAATGGACAAAGAGATCGAAGAAAGATCATATCATGGACCTCTTAGTAAAGAAAGGAGCTTAGCCTCCTCAAGATCCCAATCAAAAGAATAAAGGCGGCAAAAGCAAAGCAGCTCCTGTCGCTCCTCCTTAACCAAGGGTTAATGAAAAGAAAATTCCATTTAGGTATCAATTAACGCTCTTAAAGGATGGGCAATATCAGCCTTTATCTGATGATGAGTGGTAGGCATTCAAACAAGAAAACCCAGATCTTGTAAAGTACTTCGAATCCCCAGATGATCCCAATGTATGTTAGGACCTCTAAATTCCGGATGTCTTAGATATAGCTCCTATCTATGACTGCTGGGATAAGGCAGCTAAGAGAATGATACAGAGCTTGTGGAAACATCAAAACTCCTGGATTTTCTATGAGCCAGTTGATCCTGTCAAGCTAAACATCCATGACTATTTTGAAATCATCAAACAGCCAATGGACCTCTCTACGATCAAATAAAAGCTATCTAACAATTAGTATGATAAGATGTATGAGTTCCTCACAGATGTACAACTAATGTTTGATAACTGCATCCTATATAATGGAGAATCTACTCAAGTTAGTATCCTCTGTAAAACTGTTAGAGATGAGTTCCACAAGATCTACAAAAATCTAAATATTGATTTCTATATATGAGCTGTCAGTAATTAGCTAGCTTTTTTAGCATAAATATATACTTGTTTGTTATAGTCTCAAAGTAATTTTGTAAATCTACTACACATAAATACACATACACTTTTCTATATATCTCATATTTCCCATAAAATAATATTCTAAACTTAATAATCTTTTCTTCCACTTTTCATCTCTTTACCCCCAATAATGTCTAAATGGGTTTTCATTTTTTTGTACTATCACTTCTGTAGTGTATTTCTGGAGCAAAAAGTTCAATTAGTTAATGTTTTCGTACTAATTCTTCCATTAATTAAGTAATTTAAATGAAAAATTATTCCATATCAATAATTTAAGATTAAGTCTTAATTAAAAAAAGTTAAGAAAACGAGAACTGGTAAAAAGATATCCGATCATCCGGATTCGAACCAGAGACCGCCTGATAGCTGCGTAAACTCTACAGTCAGGCGCTCTACCAACTGAGCTATGATCGGAATATATCTACCTACCTCTATTTAGCTTTATAAATATCAGCAAGGCAAAAATACTGCTTTTAATTTTTTAATAGCACTAAGTCTGATGAAACTCTAACATGATAATTTAAAATTATTAATAATACTATCGGTTGTTGCTTGAGTTGAATCCAATGATACTCAATAAATATATTCAGATAATCAACAAGATCAGTCAATAGATAAAAAATACAATGAGAAGCAAAAGGATAGAAAAATAGTGAGGAAGCTAGTTTTAGGTTATAACGATTAAATTCAAGTATTACTTAATATTAATTTAAGTCTAATTTATTATAATTATCATCTGCTTAAATTTATGTTTAAATCATTCATTCTCTAGTCGATTGAAGCATTAACAGTTCATTCTCTGAATTCCTTCATATGATCACTAATGTTCTTGATAGATTTTTGGCTTTATTCTTGAGAACCCTTAGATTAAGTGCCACCGAGTGTGTTATTATTCTACCCTGAAGCACCTTATTCCTGATTGAACTCTCTAAGCACAATAATCTCATTCTGAGCCTTAGAAAATTCCCAACCTCCAAATATAAGTAAATGAGGCCCGATGGCAGTGCTTGTATGTCCATATCTCTATGTAGGAGGATTTCCGATATACTTGCCTCTCTTCCAAGACATGGTCTCAGTATTCCAAATCATGAAGTAATCGCACTGCTCCTTCTTAATCTCATGCTTAGCTCTATTGCCTGAATTAACAGTCCAACCTCCAAACATTATGATGTCGCTTCCTGAGATGTTCAAAGTGTGCCCATATCTAGCTTCAGGAGGTTCATCCGAAATTCTTAATCTTGACCATGTGAAGGTGTCAGTGTCCAAGACTCTTATGTCATTTAGGTAACTAGCATTCACAGCAGAGCCTTGATTCAATCCGCAGTTCTTCAGTTAATCTTCTCTAAGCTTGAAGCCCCCATGAACTACTAGATTGTTTCCAATCAGTATTGAAGCATGGCCTTGCCTAGGAGAAGGTGCTGGGCCAGTGACATTAGGTCTAGACCAAGCCATGATTTCCAAATCTAGAATGTGCAAATCATTATAGTAGTCTTTGCCATTCCATCCTCCAAAGATAAACATCTTAGTTCCACCAACAAGGTTAGCTGTGTGACCAAATCTAGCTAGAGGAGCACCAGCTCCCTCAGGACCTTAATACCAAGTCATTGTAACTGGATCGAGAGCATGTAAGTCTCTAAATGCCTGATTCTTACCACCTTTACCACCAAAGATGATTATCCTGCTTCCAGCTAAAATGGCAGTGTGTCCATATCTTGGCTTAGGTGGTGTACCTTGGATCTTAGGCTTGATCCATCTACTTGAATTCAAATCTAGGACATGAGTGTCGTTTAAATACACATAACCTTGCTTTTTACCTCCATAGTAATGTCCCTAACATGTATTGATTATCTTCAGAATTATATTACTCCGAAATAAAGGATAGAGGCACCAATCAAAGTAGCTGAGTGCCCTCCTCTTGGAGAAGGTGGGACTCCTTCAATCTATGGGAATGCCCAGAACCATTTTCTCTCAGTTTCTATTGGGAGAAAGTTAAGAAAACGTTGAAGTAAATTGACACTTACTTTTTTGCTGTATTTTTTCCTCTTCTTCCTCAAACTGGCCTAAACCGTTATCCTAGACTTGACCTTCGAACCCCTAGCCTGGCATCTGCTTGTAGTAGTTTTGATCTTCGAGACTTTCATTTTGCTCTGAGATGTGAGCGTTTTAACCTTCCATTTTATGAATTATATTATGAATTATTAATTCATTAAGTTAAAGTTGAAACATTTTGATTACTTATCAAGATTAAAGAAATATTTGTAAGAATTTAGTCAAGTTATTAAGGTTTGACACTTTTGAAAGAAATAGATGAAAATATACTTTAAGATTATAAGGGATAAGTGAAGTGAAGAGTAATTAACACAATTAAAGGCAACAAGACTATATAGAGTTATGAATCAATCATTAATGTTTAAACTCAAGCATTCGAACATAATAAGAAATTCATGCTTTGCAAGAAAAGCAACACCATATGCTTAGCAGGTGATCTGGCTTGCAGGACTACACCTGTGGATGATATGGATATCTCACCCACTACCACTTCGTCTTACTTCACAGGCACTGCATATACATAGAGTGCATCAAAGCCATTCTCGTTAGTGCCTTGATTCATGAAGTAAACTCCATTATCTTGGAGTCTAGAGATCATAGCATGAGCGTTTGAAACTTAGGGGGACATGCTAGCTACTGTGAAGTAGTTGTCTGGCTGAGAAGGAATTGACTCCCACATCATTTAGAGCTGTGAAGTGTTCATGCCCCCAGATTAACGAGTGAATAAGACTTGTGACAGCATGGGGATGTCAAAGTAGAACAGGTCTAGATTGCACTTGATGCCACTCTGGATTAGAATAGGGGGCTTTGCAGGAGCAGTCTGACCATTGTTAATCATAGTGGCGCAAGATAGTTTAACAAATTTAGTCTCGCCTGGACTAACTGTAAGGTCACTTGGGAATGGGTGGACTACATTAACTCCATAGTAATTGGTGTTAATCTTCATAAGGAAATCCTAAAAGATCTAATCAACAATATATAGTTATTACCGATAAGACTTGCTGAGAATGATTGGTCAGCTTAAGTTCTAAGACAAGATTATCATTTTCTCTCTGGAATGCTGCTTCCACTTGGAAGCCAACTTGATTATTCATAGCACCTGGTTTTTATGAATTCAAAACAGTCTATAACATAAATGATTTATAGATTTACCTAGAAAGGAACTTTAACATAATTGCTAGCAACTTAGATTCCTCCTCCCAAATCAAGATCCAGTAATGAATCTGAAACATAATTGCCTCCACTTCCCATATTCGAATTTGTATTAGTATTGATTTAAGTTGAACCACCTCCTAGTAAATCATCCAAGTCAGTGATACTAGAAAGAGGCTAGGAATTCACTTAGGGCTGAGTTGGAGTAGATAGTCCTCCCAATAGATCATCAATTGCCCCAGTACCTGTATTTGAGTTATCCTCCACTCCCAATAGATCTTGGAAGTTTGAGTATTATTACTATTATCCTGGCTACTCCTATAAGTACTCAGATCTCTTAACTCCCTATGAATCAATATAATCTTCTTGATCTTTACTCTTAGGACCATTGCCTGCTCCATCATCCTCGTTTTCTAAGTCGAGTCTTTCATTAATCTTATCACGAATCTTTTTAACAAAAGCTTCAGGAGGTTTGTAATAAATACTACTAAGCATTCCTACATTGTCTATAAGTTTATCTAGCAGTTGAGGTTCAATAGTTGATGAGTCCTCTGAAATAGTTGGCTTTTGACTTAATATGATGCGTTTAGCTAGTTCTGGGTTTGTTGAAAGCATTCTCCAATAGATATATCCTCTGTTTCTCAAATCTGGATTGTCACTTTCATCAGTGGCTAGCTTAAGTACATCCTGAACTAAATCCTCAGCTTATGATTCAAGTTTAAGGTATAACTTTACTGATGCATTAAGAATGGCAAGTTAAACTTTCTTAGCCTCATCTCTAAAGTTCTCACTAAAGTTAAGCATAAGATCGATTGCATTATCTATTCTCTCACCATATTCTCCTATAATCCATATCATTGATGCTCTAGCATCTGTATTATCTAAGGCTTTCAGATTCTCACAAAGATCCTTAATGATACTCTCATACTTATTAGGATACTTTCTGAAGATATCCTTGATGACGATGATAGCCTCTTGAACAACATAATCAATTTTGGTATTAATCAACTAGTGAAGCACTTAGATGCATCTATCAGCTGCTCTCTCGAGTTTAATAGCAATTCTACCCACTGCTGAGATAGATTTTCTCACAAATACTACATCGATTTCTTAGGCATAATCCTTAAGTTCGTTAAGGAGTGAATCAACATTCTTTAGATCTGCTAACTTAATCATAATTTCTAGCTTTTCCAACTTGACATAGAGTGGATCTTGGAAATTACAGAAAAATACTCTCACTTCCTTATCAATAATGTAGGGGCGCTTTTAAATGATGAGATTGATGTTTCTCACTGCGATATACTAGACTTCTGGATCATTGTTCATTAGCGATATAAGTGGTGGGGCCATCTTACGACAGATAGATCTAATCTTCTCAGTATCGTTGACAAAGTCGAGATATTTAATGATCACTTTTGCTGCTGATAATACCACAGCCACATTTTGCAATACCAAATTTGGTATAACTCTTTAAATGATTTCATCGACATCTTTGGGGTTATTAATCATATTGTTAGCAAGATAGTCTAGAATATAAACTTTACCCCACTCTGAGCATTCTGTGATGGCGTTTAAGAGGTTATTGAGAATTTCTTGAGTCATTTCGATTGGTGGCACTCCTCCCCTATTTAAAATTAACACTCTATTTCTTACATTGCACTTTGAATATCTGAAAGAGATGCTACAGTATTTGACACAACCATGCCATTACCATCAGTTGTAAGAAGCTTCCTCATTTGTTGCAGGAACTTAAAGTCCTCGAATCTCTGTGGACTTACCTCATAGAGTTTTGCCACGCATATGGCTGCAGTTTTCCTCACATAAGGATCTGGATCTTCTAAAGATTCCTTCAAAGGCTCGCACATATAATCAAGCATAGCTTCTACTCCAATGCATCCCATAGTTCTGATTGCAAGTCCTCTGATCAAGGGGTTTATACGCTCACGAGCATCTTTACGGAAAGAATTGACTGCTAGTACTGCAAGATCTGGCTAAGTCTTGGCATAGTTAATGATGTAAAGATAAACGAGCTTTTTAAGTTCGAGAGATTAAGTTTCCACGCATTTCAAAACTGGGAAAAATAACTTAGACACATCTTTTCCTACTGTCATTTATGCAATAACCTAATACAAAGCAATAAATAGTTAGAGATTGATTGATACCTTTTTGATTGCCTGAATTCTTCGTTCTAATTTATTGTGATTAAGTTCTAAAGTGATCTCTGCTATTTCACTTCTTTATGACCCTTAAAAATCTATTGACATTTTTCAAAATTTATATTCTAATTTATAATTTTGAAAATTACTCCTCAATTAATCATAATGGGGTTTTGGGGTTTTGGGGTTTTGGGGTTTTGGGG